GGCACCCATGACAGCCTCTCACTTGGTGTCTTTTTTGGTCGGGCGGCTGTTTGTTGGGGGCTTGGTGTGAACTGTTGATTTGGTAATTTGCTTAGAATTCACCCCTGCGTAGATTAGACGAAAATTTTCGGATAGCTATTTCGAAGCCGAAAGATTCAGTTTGCTCATTCCGGTCAGAGCTGATAAATGTGCCATATTTATCTGCATAGGTCTTGCGCAACAGTTTGATTTCTAGGAATGAAGTCAAATTCCAACCATCTAGAAAATGTTTTTTAACTAGTTCATGGGAGCCGACCGACGAGAGATGGGGCATCGGATTAACGTGCTCCCATGATGTCATATCGTCTTCCTTCACCAGCCGTGAGATATCCTTGAGATTCGCATTTTTGATATAAGAAAATGAAGTTTGGGTTTAGATGTGTAATGAATAAAAGTTCTGTGATTTGTACATAAAGATTGAAGTTTGTCTATTATGTATATAATATATAAGAATGTTTAGGTTTGTACATGAAAATTAAAGTTTATGTGTTAGGTAGGGTTGTAAATGAACCAATGCACTCGATGAAAAACTAAAACTCGACTCGATTAAGGCTTGATCATATCCGTTCAATTTAGTAAATAAACAAGCTTGAACAATTTTTAAAAGCTCGAAGCTTAGACGAACTGAGCATGAAGATAATCGAACTTATTTGTTTATGTTCACAAACAAACTCATTTGTGCAACAAGTTACTTATTAAATACTGGATATTAAACTCCATAATAACTCATATTATATATATGATATATTATTTAAATAAATTTAATTAGTTAGAATTTATTTAATAATAACATATTATTATATCAATTATCTTTTTCGTTTAATTATTAATTATATATTTATTTTATTAGTAAGTGAATGGTAATTGATAATGAGATGTTTACAGTTAAATAGTGTGCATAAAAGATATTTTTTGTAAAGTTTTAGTGATCTTGAATATAAGGAGTTCATCTTTTATGACAATCACAGTGCAATTACCAATAACATTAATGTGGATTGTCTTATTGCTATTATTTTCTTATTTATATAATTAAGTAAATGATAATATCTACTTTTATAATCAATTTCTTTTTTCCACTTACAAAATTTGAACTAGTGTAATCCTATCAATAAGAATTATGTAGCTAATTAGTAAAGTTTAAATATTTTAGAGTTCATAACTAACAAATTAATAACTACAATTAGAATTGTAAAATAAAAATAAGTTTGTGTCAGTGTCGGAAATTTCTAATGGTAATACTTTCAACAATTTCTGTTGCAATTCAATAATTTCCGACACTAAATGATCTTCGACATATTTGGTCGAAGCAAAACAAAACACAAATTTATATCCGACAAAAGTTGATTGAGATTTGCGTCTTCGAGGGGCTCGTCAAATCCTGTTAACATTAACGTAGATATTCTTATATGATAAGACCGATGTAAACAATTAATGCTGGATTTTTTGGATGTTAAATACATGGCCATAGGTCATATGCTAAAATTGTGTTGTGTCAATTCATCTTTGTTTTAGCGTCCGACGCAAATATGCAAAATCGGATGCTAATACACAAAAATCCTGTAGTGGGAACACAATCAATTGTTTCAAATCCTTTGATTGAGATAATTTTACATTTTACATGAATGAGAGACATTCTTATCTTGTATTTATTTTTCCCAATTATGTTTCAGGCAAATTTTGTCGTATGAATGAGAATGTTGTAATGCCAGTCAGTTCACTATAGTTCATTGATATGGATGAGATACAAACATATCATAAAAAGGGGTAATTAGCATTTTGAACATACCATACAAAAAAAAAATGAAAAGCTACAATAAACTACAAATTGTGGAAAATAGTGGCTCAATGTATGCTACAATACTGTAGTGTCAATTAAATAGTACAATCTTAAGATATGATCTATTTGAAACTAAAAATAGGTGAAGTCTTGTGACTTTTATATATCTTAGAACTAAAAGCTACAAGTGATAAGAGTTTAAGTGAATGTTACTTTTATATTCAATAAAAAAAAAACAATTTGGTGAACAAATTAAATAGATATTCATTGTATACCCATAATGTTATAGACAAATGCTCATTAAGCTTAATTAAACAATCTCTTTTTGAATCTAATCATATTTATATCATCATAAAGTGTCCAAAATTTTAGTTAATGGACATACTTAGAACTATATAAACTATGCTCTTAATGATCATTGGGAACCAAATCATCCTCACCAAACAATAACGATTATATTTACAATTTATAATTATGATTTTAGATTGAAGGTCAAAATCGAAGGAATTAATAAAATTATCTAATGAAGATAAAAAAAATGCATATAAAGATGCCCACCTTTGCATTAATTTTTAACAACACATTTAAATACTAATTAATACAATATTCAATAATGATAGATGAGTTATTGCCTTTAGTATTCAAAATAATGGCATCATTAACTTCAAATTATCTAATAGTTTTCCTCATCACACCATTAGACATTTGCCTACCTAGCAAGATAACTTTAATAAGTAAACTTTAAATATGACATCAAGTGAAAATATTAAATTCAAACCATCTTTGTCCTATATTCAGACTAATATTTGCTTTTGCTCAAACTTTGCTTGTACATTAAACAAATATAAACCATACTTGAACTTGTTTAGTCATTATTTGAACCAAGATCAAATCTTCTTCAGTCTTTGTTCAAACCAAGATTCAATCTTCTTTGATCATCATTCAAATCATGATCAAATTTTGACCCATCTACAATTATCATTTGAATCTTCTTCTGGCATGATTTAAATAAACTGTAAATGTTTGACCATCACCCACTTATATTTTGATTAAGATTGGAATAAATTTTCATCGACATTTAAAGCTGATGTTCTGTTGTCTAATGTCAATTCAGTTTAAAGTTTGGATTGTGAATAATGTTTCAAACATGGATGATTAAAAGTATAAGCATTACAATCTTGAATAATTAGTTGGAGATAGAGATTAAGTGTTCATTTTGGGTGATTGTAGTATTTTTATAAAGGAAATTATAAAGCTATTCTTCGAGAAAAATATTTTTTTTTGAAAACTATTATGAGTATTACATACACACAGATACATACATACATACATATATATATATATATATATATACAACAACTACATTTTATCATTTCTATTTATAAAATAGGAGTTCTCATTGTAAAAGTAAATAATGTGAGAGCTACCAAGAAAATATCCTAAAAGTTTGCTAGAAACTTTGCCCACAAAAGTACTGATGATTTAGGCATGAAAGATGATAAGCTCAAAGATTCACTTATAAAAATGCTCTAATTATGAGATATTTTGATTTGAATAAACATTTAGCCATGAGAAATGAAATGCGAGTGATATTGCATCATTTTTTGATGTTATGTGACATATAAAGTCAAACATTAAAAATAGAAAGGAGAGGAGAAAAAAATATTTAGCTTAAATGTTGGATAGTTAGTATAGGGCAAAAATCTACTCTTTTTTGTACTCTTCGAGAGTGAGTAGTTTAAGGAGAATTTTAATAATGAAAATGCCATATTTAGCTTAAATGCTGACAACATATTATTTATAGGATTTAATAATGAATTTAACTTAAACCCAACCAAACACTTTAAATAAATAAATCAATCTAAATCTAATTTTCTGGTGCTCGTGTTTTGTTATTTTTACGTCGTAAATTTAATAAATCTAATTGCTAGCTGAATTTATTCTGTCGTCGCTTTCAAGTTCTTCCGTTGCTCAAATATAAGTTATCCACTGCTTAAAACTCCCATATCCATGGACTAACAGAGATTTCAATCAGTGAAATCAAAAGGATTCTGAAAAAAAATTATTAATCTTAGTAGAAAAGTTTGGGCTTGATGAGATTTGATGAGTATATAGGATAACCTTTAAGATGCCCATAAGATTATCATCCTATAGATTAATTTTTGAGAAAGCCAAATTTCTTTCTGTGTTATTAGGGCATAAAACCTGCTTAACAATAATCTGAACATGACGAATTTTAGAGTCTATTTGGGGCAGCTTGTGCGCTTCAGAATAAACAACTTATCTTGAAATATGACATACAAGTGACAACGTACGTCAAAATTGACCTCAATTTTAATGTAAAAAGTTCAAACACCACGGACAAGAACAACATTTTAAAAAACAAGCAAATGAGACTGTTAGGCGCACCCGCACTTACTGACCGGTCTCATCGGTTTTGATAGAATTTGCAACCAAACACCGCGAATTCAATTTCTAAAGGTCGTCCCAGTTTCCCTCCCTCGCTTTCTTGCTTTCTCAAGGTCGTCCCAGTTTCCAGCGCAGAAATCCCTCGGGATGGCGTCAACATCCGCTCCCCGACCTTCGCTCAGTTCTGCGGCGTCGAGAATTGCAAGCGCCGCCTCCAACCTTTCTTCCGATAACCAAACCCTAATAGCGGTAGAACCCTAACCCTCCCAAGCTCATCCCCAATTCCTCAAATGCCAATGTTCCTTCATTTATACACTAACCATACGGATTGTTAGTCGACACTGCGTCATTACTCCTTTACTCCTCAATGCTTTCTCTTTAGGAAATTCGAAAATCCCTTGGTATAATCAAGGGCATCGCGGTCGATTTGGAGAGGGCGCAGCGGTCTGACAAGGCAAACAATTTATTCACACTTACTAGTCGATTTGAGGTTTGATCGTGAATTCCTTTGTTTATCTGAACTAATTCAGGTGAAAGAGTTGGAAAATACTGTCCTTGAGTTGCTGGAATCCTACGATGACTGCACCAATTTGTCTGAAGCAATCAATAATGTTGGTAATAATTACCAGCCTTCTGCCCAGGTGTCTTTTGATTACAGAAGGTGAAGTTTCTTCTTTCTGCTTTTCTAATTTTCGTTGGGAGTAAAACTCTTTGCTTTATATTTTGTAATCTGCAGCCTACTGATTTTCGTAAACTGTTGGAGGATGAGATTGCGACACTTAAGGCAGAATCGTCTTTTGTTCCTCAGAAGAGTCCTTTGTATCGCCAGTTCAAGGAAGCCATATGGGTATCTTCTGAATTTTTGTCTGGAATAATTTCTTTCCTGTCATGGGATCTACGCCATTGAAGTTGATGCTAGTGTATTTATGGTTATATTTTGAATCTGTAAGCATTGATCTGTCTTGAACTTTCTGTTTATATTGATATAGATATAGACAGATCTTTGAATGCATCTTTCAACAAGTGAAATCAACTAGAGAAAAGCTTAAGGTTTCTTAGCTGCTCCAATACTAACCCAATATTGTTTTGGGGTATTTACATACATGCCACCCAGTTCCTATGTATTTACATATCTAACATCTAAACCATGTGGATTTTATATTTATACCACCCAAATAGTTATATGACATCAAAATACCACCATTTTAACTTTTAAAAAGGGAAATACAAATTTTCATGCGCAGGTAAGTGTGTAAAAACTGAACTTTAGGTGTTAGATATGTTCATACATAGGAATTGAGTGCAATGCGTATAAATCTCTCTATTTTTTTTTAGTATCTAGTCCTTATAACGAAAGTTGAACATTTATGTTAGGTATTCACTCATTGCAAAATCTATGCCAATTCGACGAAATAAAAGGCAATGGAAAATTTTACTGAAATAGCTTGCTTTATGAAACAAACTGATGCTGCTAGATGTTTTAAATCGATTTGGCTATTTCTTTTGATTGCATTGATGCTAGTGTGTGTTTTTTCTTTTAATAGTTCCCACATCGTCATTCGGATTATCCAATTTATTTTGGTCTGGCTTTATGTTCCTCAATGTTAATTCAATTTTGGTTCTTTTATCAATTATTTTTAAATTTAATAATTTCTTACATTCCAAAATGTATCAATTTCCCATCTTTTCTTTTTATCTTTTTTTAGACTTACAAGGCACATTTATAAGTATCACTCTACGTTGTGTGGTCAAACTCTATTGAATTCATCTCATAATATTTGTAAAATGATTTTTCTTTTCATTCAAGAAGAAAAGAAAAATCATTTTCACCACAGTTAAGTTTAGTTGTGGACCATCACTTACATATGAAACCATGACAGACCATTGCTTATTTTTTGACTAAAATCAGATTAGGTCATGCTTCATTGCGTTTAGGAAATATCCTTGAACTTTATAGAATTCAAATTAGGTTTCATTTTACTAGTTTGGGCGTGAGATTTTTTATTGATTCATTGATTTCCGACCTAACATCAAATTTATATTGATTTGGGAGTGGCAGTTGTAGTTTTACTCCAAGGCACCCCACCCAACTCTCTGTATATTTAACTTTCAGTATATATTGCGAACATCTTCACGACTAACTCAAAAATGAGGAGAACTAACTATTATAGGGCGGAACAAATATGACATTTCGATATAGCATGATACATTTGTCAATCATCTCAAATTTCTCCTGTGATGCATGCTTTTCTGCTGGATTCATTTTCCATGCATCTCAAGATTCTCCTAAGGCTCGTAGTAAGAAAATGGTCAACACCTGATGCATGGTTGGGATAATGCAGGAAACCTTTGACTGCAAGTCATTCACTAGGTATGAATAGCTTTTTCAACAATCTTGATCTGTATGTACAAATAATATGTTCTCCAACAATTTTGACCAATTTTAGGCAATAGATCCTTCTTTGTTTGAATTCTCCTTTAAAATTTAGCTTCTTGAAAAAGTGAGCCACTGTAAAAATGTTAACTCAAGCAGAGATATATATTCTCTAAACCATCTTAAAATAGTTATTCCTTAGATAGCCTTTAAATTTGTTGAATTTAGATTTGTAGGATTTTCTGAACCCCATTTACATCTAGGGCTGTCAATTTGACTCGTTGTTCGTGAACAGCTCGTGTTCGGCTCGTTCGTTAAGCCTAACGAGCCGAACACGAACAAA